TGGGGGATGGGGGGGGGGAGGGGAGGGCGGGGCGGGGGAGGGGGGCGGGGGGGGAGGGGAGGGAGAGGGAGAAGGGTCTTGAAATAAGCTTGTTCCCTAACTAGAGCTAATAAAATAAAATAAAATAAAATAAAATAAAAAAACTACTCACCTTTCCCAACAATGAAAAGACAAATTTGCACTTGAATATGAGTGGTAGTTTATTCAACACAAATATATTGTTATCTTGTTTTGATAAACTTTTGCTCCTCACAGAAATGTTTTTATCTTGTTTTTCTTCAAGTTATTGTAATAACACTTGATAAAATTTAAGGAGTTACAATTTTTAGATAATGTTATCACCCACTGAACTCTCATTCAAAAGGTCATAAAATTGGTGACTGAGATGATCTATGCATTCATGAGGAGTGACCATCTCTTACGTATAGAGGTACACATGTAATTACAAAATTTGGAGACAAGAGTTGAGAAAATAGGAATTTCAAGGTCTGTTATGATAAGTCTTTCTGTCAAAACCCACCTGAGCCCCAAAGCCACGTGTGAGCTTTACACCAGCTGCCCCCCCCCAGAGTTAGGCCCAAATGAATACACAGAAACTTGTATTAGTTCAATGCTGCTTGGCCAATGACTAGGATTCTCATCTGTTAGTTCAGTCTTAACTATCATAAACCTATATATTTTATAAGACTTATCTTATTGGATGCCTTATTGGTGTCCCTCCTTGCCGGTGGATCACATTGTGCTGCTGGAGCAGGAGCATAGGGGAAAAGAGGGCCCTTTCTGTTTCTCCTTAGCTTAAATATGAGTCTCCTTGCTATGTCACTTCCTGCCTGGATCACACTTCGCTACTACATTTCCCAGAATCCTCTTTGACTCCTTGTCCCGTCTACTTGCTGTCTCATTGGCCAACCAGTATTTTATTTAACAATCAATAAGATAAACATACACAGTACATTCCCCACCAAAGGTCTGCCTTAGCTATACAGAGAATTCAAGGGAACTCAGGTTCCATGAGCATCTGTCTCAAAACCACACTTAAAACAAAATGTGTAAAACAGATAAACAAATATGAAACTGTGTAATTTTTTTTGCCTTTTCTCCCCTCAGATGAAGCTGTTCAGATTTCTAAGAGGCTCAAAAACTGTAATAAGTCAATATAAAAATACCGAGATAATTACTTTGTAAGATATAGTCAAAATAAATTTAATAAGTAATTTCATAAATTGCATTAAACTGGAAAAATTAAATTCAAAATTGAATTTACAGGAATAAATAAAGAGGTGTCTTAATGGTTAAGAGCACTGTTCCTACAGAGGACCAGGGTTTGGTCCCCAGCATCAACCCAGATGCTTTTAATTTTCTGTAACTCCTGTTCCAGCGAATCCAGACTATGCTTCTGGCCTCCACAATTGCCAGCCAAGCATGCAATATGTTAACATACATGAAAGTAAAAAAATCCATACACTAATTGAATTTACTTTCATTTTCTATAAAATTTCATAATTCCTATAACAATATCTATTGTCACATATGCATAATGACAAAATCCCCAACAACTGCTGGATTGGCTGTCTGTGTCTGCAGTGTCAAGGGTACTGATCATAAGGTAGGGGAACTCCAAGTTGGATGTCATCCTTGGCTATATACAAACTCATGCCTCAAAAAATAATCCCAGCATTTTTAAGGTGTAGGCATGAAGACTAGGTATTGAAGGAAGCCTGGGCTAAATGGTGAGTGGCCATCCTTGTATATTTGAAATACTATCTAAAAACAAATACACAAATAAGAAAACAAAAATACAAAACCAAAACAAAACAGAAAAACTACAATAAAATATACAGTACTTAATTAATTAAAAAACAAATAAAAAATACACAGTATTTCACAAGCAGATAAAAAAAGTTCTTTTCTTAAGTGACTTTAAGGAGACATCAAAAAAATTTGAGCACTCAGTGGTAGTTAGATGGCTCCTTCTTTGTTGTTCTTTATTTTCCATCTTCAATTCAATTCTTTTAATGTTCTGTTATTGACCATCATGTTTAATATGACTATTCTATAACAAATTTAACACTGGTTTGTGATAAAATAAGTCAATGAAAAAGCACATATCACTTTACTTAAGGTTTACACAAGTACACATGAGGATAACTAATTGCTTCAAACACACTCATAAACTTGTTGGTCATAATGGAACAGTCAGAGCCTCAAGCTGTTTCCATAATGATCCCATTGGGATACAAATGCAGAAAAGGTGCCATCATTTTACAAATCATATTTTTGTCATGTGAATATGAGAATTTGCTATAAATTTAGGAAGAAAGACACAGCTAATTTCAGAGATGTCTGAATTTACAAGTCTCTTTCCTGTCAGATACTCTGTTGACCGGCATACTGATATGGACCGGGTTTTCAGTATTCACTCAGAAAATGGCTCTATCTTCACTCTGAAGCCCCTGGACAGGGAATCATCCCCTTGGCACAACATCACAATTACAGCCACAGAGATAAGTAAGTTCTAGGTATATCCATGAAAACATGTTTCACCAAAGTAGTAAATAAATGGCAAAAAAGAGTATTTCGTAAAAATATTGTAATAGTGTTAATATAAAAAAATGATTCAGCATGTTTGTAATTCATGTTAATATTTATTTAAAGATTAGCATGTAATTTATTTTAAATATGTTTTATGTGTTTTTACAAGTTGTAATGGATTTGAATTGCATCTAGCATCATAAAAATCATACATGAGAGTATGGACATTGTCAATTTTATTTTCTTATCCTCCATTATATTTTCCTTTTTTATTATGCTTTGGTTGTGGACCAAGTAATAAAGGTGAAATATTTGCTAGCCATCCAAATGAGCTAGAGAATAAAAGGAATTGATCAGTCACCAAAATACGAATGCTGGTGGGGCTTTACAGCCTCTTTTACAAATGGCATTGAAACTTTACTTGAAGTTTTTGTTTCAGATAACCCAAAACAAAGTAGCCAAATTCCTGTCTTCATCAGAATTCTTGATATAAATGATCACGCTCCGGAATTTGCCATGTACTATGAAACATTTGTTTGTGAAAATGCAAAATCTGGGCAGGTAAATAAGTCATTATAAACTTTATAAACAAATCTTTGGTAAGGCTCAAATCACAGCTTCACTTGCATGACATTTTATTGTACTGTTATTGCTTTTGTTGTTGTTGTTGTTGTTTTTCAAGACAGGGTTTCTCTGTGTAGCTTTGGAGCCTATTCTGGCACTCACTCTGGAGACCAGGCTGGCCTCAAACTCCCAAAGGTCTGCCTGCCTCTGCCTCCCAAGTGCTGGGATTAAAGGCGTGTGCCACCAACGCCTGGCCTGTTATTGCATTTTTATGTACACTCTTCAAAGTACTCACAATGACATCAAAAATGTGACTTTCAAAATTACTTTTAACTTGACTGTGGGAAGATAAACACGTTTATGGCATATCAAAAAAATTTCACATAGAGTTCTAATTAGGCTCATATTGAGTCAAAGTTACTAGAGTCTTGAGTATATCTTTTAAATGAACATTGATATGTATGAAATATTTCTATTTTAATATTCAATTGTAATTGTTCATGTTTTGCTACACTAGTAACTCAGAAGAGTACAGTTTGCTCTGATATTTTTCTATGATAGTAAAATTTCAATTATACTATTTTTCATACCAAGGTTGCTTTTTGAGGGGCACATTTTATATTTTCTTCCTTAGAAAAACAATTTTCTAGTGAGGAAATGAGATCTTGATTAAGTACAAATAACCAAGTTTAAGAGACTAGGGCTATAGAAAAATAACAAAACAGATTATTTTTTGAATTAGTCAATTTTTTGTAAAGTGGGATGTTTGAGTCACCAGGAGGTAGAAAACAATGCACTGGAGTACCCAACAAACTTTGCTTCAGAGAGAATTTTCATTATTGTTTAAATGGTATCTTAAATGATAGCAATAGATCCATATAAACACCTTTGGTGTGTGTTTCTGAGAATGATATATATGGTCAATGTTTTAATTATATCAAAAATATGAACAGTGGCATTGCTCCAGCAAATTATAGCTACTAAAAAGGTCTTGAATAAACTAAGCTTTGTTTCTATTTTGCAGCATTGAATTAATGAATATGTTTGGATTTCAGCTAATTCAAACAATTAGTGTCATGGACAAAGATGACCCTCCCAGAGGACACAAGTTCTTCTTTGAGCCAGTGCCAGAATTTCCTCTCAACCCAAATTTCACCATTGTAGACAATAAAGGTAATAGACATCTATAAAAAATAAAGTGTCAGTTATTAAGGTGAAGAATTGAAATTGAACATGAAGCAAGATGTGGTGGCTTTGTCTGTTATCCCAGCACCTTGGAAGTTATCTCAGGAATATCAAATAATTCAAGGTTGTTGTCTAGACAGGGGGGTTGAGGCTAGCTTGGGCTACATGAGAAAATATCTCAAGAAACCAAAGAAAGGAAGAGTGTGTTGAAGGGACCAGAGAAGAAGGAAAAGAGAGAAGGGAGAGAAGCAAATGAGTATGAAGACTTTTTTCTAATAATCTTTTCTTCTTCAGATAATACAGCAGGAATCATAACTCGAAAAGATGGGTACAGCCGCACCAAAATGAACACCTACCTACTGCCAGTTTTAATCTTTGACAATGATTACCCTATTCAAAGCAGCACTGGCACGCTCACGATCCGTGTGTGTGCATGTGATAACCAAGGGAACATGCAGTCCTGCAATGCAGAGGCCCTGATGCTTGCTGCAGGCCTGAGCACAGGAGCTCTCATCGCAATTTTACTTTGTGTCATCATCCTGCTCAGTAAGCTATGTATCTCTCAATCATCCCCTCCCGAAGGTCTTCTCCATTGCCAGGCATTGTGTATGATGTTGTTCATATTCATCATTTTACTACAGTTATTCTCAATGACAAAAGTATACCCCACCTATTTTTTCTTTGTGGGAGAAAGGATTCATTGTATAAAGCTATAAAACAAGATTAAATAGCATGGGTCTTACAACCATAGCATGAAGGTATTTTGGTCACACTTCTAAGGATTTGATTTAATGATTAATTTAATTCTATCAAATCTGTCCAGCTGGGAAATGGCTAAAAACAGATGCAACCCTTTCCTTGTGTGACTGCATGCCCATGTACATTTGCATACAGGTCACACATAAATATAGAGTCATGTGTGGAGCCCAGAGGTCAGCATCACATGCTTTCATGCAATGATCATCACCTTATTTATTGACAATGAATAGCTCACAAAACTGGAGTTCACAAAATTGGCTGTCCTAGCTGGTTAGTGCTGCTCTTGGTTCCTCCACCCACTTCTACTATTGGATTTACAGGACTCTATCAACATGCCTGGCACTATACCTGTCTGCTGGAAATTTGGGCTAATGGCCTCATTCTTGTCAATCAACCTAGTTATCAACTGATCACCTCCAAAACAGCATTTCTTAAATGCATTTATTGGAGAATTAAAACAAATATTTCTATCTTGAAAGTCTCTATTCCAATCTCAGAACTAAGCATATTTCAGCTTTTAAAATGTTTTTACTAACAATATAAAATATATAGGAGTATATCAGGCATTAATGTGGCCACCTTAAAATATTTTCCTTAGAGAACTATTATAAGACACACACACACACACACACACACACACACACACACACACACACACACACCATCACCTTTGCAATGTCATTGTGAGAGGGTAATCACAGATGCCTCACTCAGTATTTTTCAATTTAAATCTTGTTTCTGATAGAACACATTTTATCTAAGCACACACTAAAACAGCAAATGATTTAATTCAATTAAACAGTTTGTTTCCCTGTGAACGCCTCCAAAATTATTTCTATAAAATATTCATCCAAAAAATTTGCACGTAGGGCAAGAGATCTCGCCAAGTTTATGTGCAAAATGCTCATGTATGCTGGATCCTTTTCACTACAAACCCTTTCAAGTTTTCTAGATAAATCCCCTTTTGCCAGACATTTTTGTAGAATTTCACTAGGGGTTTGACAAAAGTGAATGGAAAACATTTGTTTCATTTAACATCATCTAGCTATTGAGAAAGAAAATGAGGGTGTTTTGCCCTTAAGTCACCATTTCTGCCCAGTCTGGGACTTCTTAAAGCTTGATTGTGATCTTCAAAAAAGAGAAACAAAAACTTGATGGTGGAAATGAAATCCATGGCAAGAACTTCATAAATTTTGACCACAGAGACCCCTCTGGCACTATGATGAATCTTATGATTTAATTATCATACATCTTAATTTAGAAGAATGCTGTGGTTGTAGCTCAGGGATAAGGCATGTTAACATTATGAGGCACTAAGTTTGATACAAGATTTATGTAAAACCAAACAAATGTAAGTAATAAAATCTGTATCAATAAAGTGCATAATAGTTAACGGATGTCTAGACAAATTAAAGAATTCTAATAAAGTTTAAAAATACCTACCTGTCAAAATGATAATGCTAATGATACACAAAGTGTCTATGATTTCTTTTGTTTTTTCATCTTTTAATAAGGAAGATTAAGGTTTTATTCATTTTAATACAGTCATGTTTTCTTTATTTTAAATACCTCCCAGATGAACCTGAAAAAGGTTAAGTCCTCAAAAAGATATATTTTTTGTGGGATTTATCTGAGGTTAGGAATTGAACTGGAGATGTAGGACAATGGTACAATGCTTTCCACCCATACTCAAAGCTCAACCCTACAAAAGAGAAAAAAAAGTACAGCATAACAAACTTAAATAAGGGCACAACAAAAGCAATGGGAAATTTGAAGTTAATTTATTGGTTCTTTCAATGAAATATGATCTTCATCTCCCCTTTCTTCTAGCCTTTGAGACAAGATCTCAGTAGGCAACTTGGGCTAGGTTCAAAGGGTCTTACTGCTCAAGGCCCTAAATTGCTAGAACCACAAATATGCATAGTCTGTAATTTTGGCAAAATTTTGGCTTCTTAAAATAAATGAACTGTAGTTTTCAAATTCTCTCCTGTTTAAATAAATTTTCCCAAATTGATTGTTTCTTCTTTAATTAATTTTTTTCTCACACTGTATTTTTATTATATTTTAAATTATTTCTTATTTTCTCATGTACAAAGAGAGAATTTATTGAATTTAATATAAATTTTAAGACATAGAAATCATACTGATTTTTAATTTTTTGAAAGCATTTTATAGGAGCTAAGATGACTTTGGTGGTAAAATGTTTTTCATGCAAAACTCAGGACATGAATTCAGAAAACCAGCACCCAGGGAAAATGTTGTGTATATGTGAGCACATCTTTAACCTCCACTGCCCTTAGGGCAAGGATAATGTTGGAGACATGAAGGACAGTCATTCTAACCAATTAATGATTTCTTAATTCAGGGACAGATCCTAATTCACAAAATATTGTAAATAGTGACCAAGAAAGACCCCCAATATTAATCTTCAGAGTCCACACACAGCACACACACACACATACATGCATAAATAAATGTACATATGCATAGATTGCATCCTAATACATAAGCATTAGGAAAAGATGGTTCTCAAATATTTGTATTGTATTTAACTCTACAACTATAATTGGAAACCTGCAATTTTACTGTATGGTAAAGTGCTTAATTACATCCATAGAAAAGTAAATAAATAAAAATTAGAAGACTAAATAAAACAAAATTACAATTTTAGTCACAAATTTTGAACATAATTTTGTGAATTATGAATGGTCTCAATAAGAAAAATCTAGTTTTAGCTGCTCTGTGTAGGTATAATTTAAACTTGTTTTGAAATTTGTATATTACATTTAGGATTTAGAGTTGCATTTCAGATTTTCTAGAATGTTTTCAAAACCATAACACTAAGGAAATTTAAATAACTCTCTGCTCAATATTTAATTAGATTAAAATTATTAGTCATATGCATCGTATCAATATGTGTGTATATGAATATTATAAATTCATGTATAGAAATGTATTCATTTATGTGCTTCTTTATGAGAGACTATTTACATACATAACCCTAAATTTTAATGGTGATGACTGAATAATTTTTTTTAATTTGAGATAAATTTGCATTAGGTGGGAATGAAATTCCAGTTAATCTTAGATGATCAAATACAGTTAGTCATAAATAATATTTTCAATACCAATGTTCCACAGACATTGAAATGTAATTTAATAATTGTTTAATAGCTTCCATTTTTCATTATTATTTTACTTTTTTATTTTGTTTTAAATCATGTAATGTTCCCTTTATTGTTCCAATCAGATAGTTACCTCATGTTTCCAGATGATCAAGTAAGCTTCACATAAACTAGAATTATGTACATTATCTCTAATCATGAATTTCACTATCCATTCTTCTCTCGTCAATAGCTCTAATCGTGTTGTTTGCTGCATTGAAGAGGCAACGAAAAAAGGAGCCTCTAATCATTTCAAAGGATGATGTCCGGGACAATATTGTGACCTATAATGATGAAGGTGGTGGAGAGGAAGACACCCAGGCTTTTGACATTGGCACTTTAAGAAACCCGGAAGCAAGAGAAGACAGTAAACTTAGAAGAGATGTCATGCCTGATACTATTTTTCAGATAAGAAGGACTGTACCCCTTTGGGAAAATATTGATGTACAAGATTTTATCCACCGGAGATTAAAAGAAAATGACTCAGATCCAAGTGCACCTCCCTACGACTCCCTGGCCACTTATGCCTATGAAGGGAATGATTCCGTAGCCAATTCGCTCAGCTCCTTAGAGTCTCTCACAGCTGATTGTAACCAAGATTATGATTACCTTAGCGACTGGGGGCCTCGGTTCAAAAAACTCGCAGATATGTATGGAGGTGATGACAGTGACAGGGAATGAGTCCTGTATGACTTGATCAACGTTAGTGGAAATACTCTTTGATACCAGATTGAGTGGCCTGTACTATCCTTTTTCTGGAGGAAGTTTTTAAAAATCAACTCCAAACAATACATAAGTGTTGTCTTAGTAAGGATTTGCTTAATCAGTAAGTTTCCGTGAATGAGTATGAATGACATAGATTTTAAAACAGTAATAACAACCTTTCACCCTCTTTGCCTAATGAGCTTGGAAAAATATATCACATCAATAGTCAATAAAAATTCTTGAAAGGCTTTTTGTGCCTTGTCTTAGTTTAGGAAATTTATAAATGCTTTCTTAACTGATTGTCAGTCACATATATTATGAAATTAAACATTGTGCAACTGCTTTGTAAATTAATATGAAAGAAAATGTACCTAATTAAATTAGGAGTGACTATTACTGCCATATTTATTTAGTTGAAAGATGTCTTTGTGTTAATTCACTCATATTTTTATAAGTGTATATTTATATTTTTGTATTTTTATGAAATAAACTAATATTTATAAAAATCAATTTCATTTCACTTAATTCCTTGGAGCAGTTCATCTCAAAACAGAAGTGTTTTATCTCTCTGAGTGTAAAACACGATTTACTCAGGGAAAAGCAGTTTAGAAGTCAGTGCAGAAGACACCCATGTAAACTGAGATAGCTCCAGGGATGAACTGTGCTATGAAATGTTCTTCCTCTGTTTTGATTGTTTAAGTGTGGACAAATGTTTATTGAACTACTAATGTCTACTCATAGACTATGGATATCGATTTGGGATATACATTATTATTATACATATATATATATGGTTGTGGACAATAAACTACGTTTTTGCAAGATATATCAAACCATGCATTGTATTTGAATACATGGAGTGTAACTCAAAGAGGCTGCAGAGATTAGAAAAAGCCCCAAATCAATTACCTCAGAAATAATTGTTTTAAAATGAGAAACAGTAATTGTGTGTGTGTGTGTGTGTGTGTGTGTGTGTGTGTGCACGTGCATGTGTTGCTGGTCTGGAAATTCAATGGATATATTCTCAGTTCTTGGTAACATGTTAAAAATTTTTATTGATCTCTACGTTTGCAAACTGAAAAAAATTTCCTGGACTGAGAAGTAGAATTAAAGACAAAGACAAACCCCTATCTAAAGAGTTATTTGGTATTGATACCTGCTGGGAAGTGGAAGATTCAGTTTCTTCAATAGAGTGTCACTGAGTATACCAACCACACTCCACAGTAGACCTCACATCCAAGACAGTAGGTCAGTACAAACAACTCTGTATATTTTTTATGCTTTTATCTTGTTTTTGTTTTCTTCTTTTTTATTTACTTTTTATGCTCTTTTTCTCACTTGTTATTTTGGAGGTGTTCTGTGTGTTTGCTTTTTGTTTTTGTTTTTTGTTAGAGAATGGTAAAGAAAAGGAAGTAGGCTGATTAGGGAGGAAGAAAGGATCTGAGAGGATTTGGAGGAGGGGAAAGAGCATGGGAGATTACTGGAAGAGACCACTGCCAAGTGGGGACATTCTGAGAGGAGGTTAAAATGTAGCACAAGGGAATCCCCCAGGATTAATAAGGATGATCCCATCTAAGAGACCTAGCATTGTTGGATATGTAGCCAGAACTGTCCATCTCTGGTAACCAAGCAAAACTTCAAATGGAAGAAGAGGGAAACCAAGCCATCCCCAAACATTTGACTTACAGTGTGTCCTGCCTATGGGATATGATGGGATTAGTACCTAGCCAGATTTTCATTCTAGAGGTTTTATCCTGCAGACCACAACCAAAGTTCTGGGACTCCTGCTAAAATGAGGGAGAAAGGATTATAGGAACCAGAAGGACCAAGGACACCACAAGGAAACTGGCACAACCAACCAATTTGGTCTAATAGGGGCACACAGAGACTGTATACACAACTTAGGAGTCTGCAAGGGACTGACCTAGGTACTCTCCATTACAGTTGTGTGGCTTGGTCATTTTGTGGAACTCCAAACAGTGGGAGGAGGGACAGTCTCCAAATCTTTTACTGGTATTGGGACCCACTCCTCATACTGTTGGGCCAACTTAATACATGGGGAGGTGATTAGTCTTACTGCAACCTGATATGTCATGTTTTATTGATACTCATAGGAGACCTGCACTGTCCTGGATGGAGATGAAAGAGGAATGGGTTGGGGTGGGTAGGAACATAGAGTGCCTGTGTGGGGGAGCAACTGGGAGGAGAGGAAGAGGCAAAGAAACTGCAACCAGGATGTAAAATAAAATTTAAAAAATATATACTGAATGAAATTAATTTTTAATTGTTTATTTGTATTTTGTTTACATTGGCCTTTTGCCTGTATGAATAGCTGTGTCAGGGTGTCAAAGTCCTTGAAAAGGAGTTATAGACAGCTGTGAGCTGCCACACGGGTGCTGGGAATTAAACCTTGGTACTGTTGTAATTTAACAAAGCAGCAGCACAAAGATGCTATGCAAAAGAGCTCACGTGGAAGGGTATTGCACTAAAGGAAAGGGAATGTGAAAAGAGGGGAGTGGAGAGGGGGAACCAGCCTCTGGGGACAGGAGTGGCAGAAGAGAATACAGAAGAAAGAAACAGAGTGGGAAATAGGTGAGGAGAAACAGAGAGAGAGAGAGAGAGAGAGAGAGAGAGAGAGAGAGAGAGAGAGAGAGAGAGAGAGAGAGAGAGAGAGAGAGAATGGTAGGTGGGCAGGGCCCTTTAAAACGGGGATGTGGTGAATGTGCACAGGTAATGTTCTTAAGTGGCTGCAGCTGAGGGTGGGGCAGTACAGTTGTCTGAATACTAACATGTCCTCTGGAAGAGAAGCCAGTGCTTTTAGCCACCGAGCCTTTTCTCCAGCCCCATAAAATTAAATTTTAAAATGGATTAAACAATATTAGTTTTTAGTAGTGATTTTATCAAAAACACTAAAGTACATAGCTTGTGAAAAAAGATGTATAGCAGTATGACTGTTAGTGTTCAGGCATCTGTACTGGCCTGTACTTGGGGTTCTGACAAGTACATCCTCAGCTACAGCCACTCAGAGCACCACTGCACCACCTGTACACATTCACTATGTCCCCTTTAAAAGGGCCTTGCCCACCTACTCTCACTCTCCCTCTCCCTCTCCCTCTCCCTCTCCCTCTCCCTCTCCCTCTCTATCTCCCTCTCTTTCCCTCTCTCCCTCTCTCCCTTTCTGTCTCGCTCTCGCTCTCTCGCTCTTTCTGTTCCTTTCTCTCTGCTTCTCTGCCTGCTTCTCACCCCCCAGCCTTTCTTTTTTCTCTTCTGCTGCTCCTGTCCCAAGAGGCTGGTCTCCCCTCTCCACTTCCCTTTTTCCCATACCCTTTCCCCTATTAAAAAAATCCCTTCATGTGAGCTGTGTCTCATGTCATCTTTCTCTCTCCTGACATTATTTTTTATAAAGTTTATTTAAATTAGAAACAATCTTCTTTTACAAACCAATCCCAGTTTCCTCTCCCTCCCATTCTCCCATGCCCCCCATTGACCCCTCATTCCAACCCCCATCCCCTCCCAGGGAGGGTGAGGCCTTCCATGAGGGATCATGAAAATTTGTCAAGTCATTTGGGGAAGGCATAGGCCCTCCCCAGGGTATCTAGGCTGAGAGAGTATCCCTCTATTGGGGAATGGGCTTCTGAAGTCCATTCCTGTACTAGAAATTGCATCCTGGTTCCACTGCCACAGGTCCCATACACTACTCAAGCCTCTTAAGTGACACCCACATACAGGGGCCTGATTCAGTCCTAGTTCCCCAGCTGTCAGTCTGGGGTCCATGAGCTCCCACTTGCTCAGGTAACTGTTTCTGTGGGTTTGCCCTAGCATGGTCTTGACCCTTTTGTCAGTACTCTTCCCTCTCTACAACTGGATTCCAGTAGTTTGGCTCAGTGCTTAGCTGTGGGTGTCTGCTTCTGCTTCCATCAGGTACTGGATGAAGGTTGTAGGGTGGCATTTAAGGTAATGAAAATGATAGCTACCATAAATGCCACTTTTAAAATTACTACAATGATTATTTACTAATGATTAGGATTATCTATGAACAGAAGACAGGCACCTAAAAACTTCAGAAGAAAAAAAGGATGAAATAGGTATTTCTCTATGTAGGAAAGACACTCAGGCTGATGCTGGTCCTGCTTTTGTTACAGTATGAAACCAAAATCATTCACAGGTAAATGGCAGGGTAATTATTTTCTGTGTCAAAAATTGTCCACCTTCTTTAAACAGTCACAATTGAGTAATAAATAACAGTTCATAGGGATCAAATTTAATTTTGGCTAGCCTGTGATTAAAAGATTTTATGTATCAAATACAATATTATAAACAGGTGCTTAAGAGGTACTATGATGCTATTCTTCGAAAGTTTTAAGGAATTTCTCATTGCATCAGCAAGAGATAATATGTATTAATTATTTAATTTACTGCAATGGAAAACACTATATATGACATCAAAAACTACTTGAAAACTTTGAAACTTTGAACTGATTATAAATGTTCACAGAGAACCTTTCACATTTTTTTTTTCTTTTGGTTTTTCAAGACAGGGTTTCTCTATGTAGCTTTGGAGCCTATCCTGGCACTCACTCTGGAGACCAGGCTGGCCTCAAACTCATGGAGATACACCTGCCTCTACCTCCCAAGTGCAGGGACCAAAGGCATGTGCCCGGCACCTTTCACATTTTTTAAGATTAACCATTTTCATTTATAATTGAATGTATGTTACCCCATTTCAAGTCCTCTTCCGAATGGATCAGTCGAAAACTAAGGAAGGGTGTTTCAGTGACATGACCTAATAAGGAAATCAGTTCATTTGTTACACATTAGACTAAGAGATGTAAGTGATGTTGAATGTGCTTGCCTTGTTTGCATTCCATCACTGTTTAAAAGGGAGAACTACATGGAGTGGGGCAGAGATGGAGAAACTGGTATGTACTTAGCTTACTGATGATTACTAGACTCAAAATTAAATTTTAAAAATTATTTCCTTCATAGTTTGAGATATAAAATTATCACATAATTTTCTTCCCCTATCTTTCCTCCTTCCGAACACTTCCATATATTCTTCATTGTTATTTTGAAATTCATTCATTGCAAATTTTTATTAATTCTTTTACACAACACACTATTCTGCACATACACACATACACACATGTAAACATACATATTTCTAAGTATACAACAATAACCTACTCATTCTGTAAATTAATATTACTTGTATGTTTTTAGGACTGAAAGATCAGGAGTCCTGAATCCTACACAACCAATTTGGGCAATGTGAGCAGGAGAAATATTGTTCTCTCAGGCAAAACACACCAATTGGTAATGTTGTCATTTAAGAAAAGCAGCACCCAAGAAAGCCTCCATTCCACAGGATTCAAGCAGAGTTTTGTTGTTGTTGTTGTGGTTTTTGTTTTTGTTTTTGTTTTTTAGAAAGGGATCATAAAGGGGGGAAGGGAAGGAGAGAGGAGCAGCAGGAGACAGGAAAGAGGGGGAGTGAGAGGAAAGAGGTAGAGAGAGGGAGAGAAAGAAAGTGAGAGAGGAGGATGGGAGGTAGGCAGGGCCCTTTTAAAATGGAACCTAGTGAATATGCACAGGTGGTGTTCTTAGTGGCTGCAGCTGAGGGCATATCCTGTCAGACCCCTAGTAGAATTGCCTGATAACTAACAAATCTAACATGAAAGGTCAAGCTTGAGTACATTATTTTAATGTTGTGATGGGAAATCAAACTCTAGGCTTTGTGTATGATATACAAGTGCTCTACCCTGATTACACCTTCATTCCCAATATGTTATTATATTGATTACTGAGTATTGTGAATATAATTAACA